TGTCATCTAATTAGGTTGTACATGCAGGTTGTTCTTGACATTGGTAAAACCAAACCTTAAGGAGAAAGATTTTCACTCTGCTCCCTCACAAGGTTATTTGACAAATAAAATAGTTTGCCGAATCCGGTCAAATCCAGTCTGCAACCTTCAAAGTAACACATTCGACCCTAAATAAAAATGAATCTGGGTAATGCGTGATGTGTTTTTTTCCTCCACAGCACACTATTCCTAGTAATCAGTGTTTTTAGACCGGTATTGATTTGCAGGATTTCTAAATCAGTGAAAACGAGCTTGTTCAATACTCTGTGCTTGGTTTGAACTGGGCTGTGTTGAAAAACAATTGAACAGAAAGGATCATCAATAAAGAACGGGAAATGAATATAATACCTTCATTCAAGGATCACTTGAACGAAACTGATTCTAGCCAAGGTCTATCGCGTCCATAGCAATGAGTTCCTCGCCGTGGTAATCAATTAACCTTCAAATATTTTAACCGAAGCCAATCATGTATCACGTTCTGTGTACACTATCAGCCAGAGCGAAAAAGCGGCTTATCTAAATGTGACTTTGAAAAAGGTTCGGTTGACCTCTTTACACACGTACTTGTTCGTGTATCGCTTCGCAATCGTTTACAAACAATTAATTGCTCACATGGATAGAATTCTGGATTGTTCTAGGTATGATGTACCCTGAGTAAATTTTTTTCTCCACCTAGACAAACAGCAATACATATAATTTGTTCTATTATCTGAATGGACCGTTACTTTCTCTTTTCCACAAAGCAGTCGCATACTAACTGTTTACTATATTGTTATAATCCGTGCAAATTTATGCTGTAATTAGCGAGATTGGCCCTTGCGCTCAACGTGGGTTGTGATATGCTGTCTGGGCACATAAAGTATGAGTTTAATAAATCAAAGGGTGGTAAAACGACTGAAATCATTACATTCTACTGAAAGGGTCTCAGGTTCGAGTTCCATTCGAATAATGAATTCACTTTATTAACGGTGCCAATCATAATCAAAATTCTTTACTAGTGCTTCACTGTGGTTTACTGTTGTGTTTACTAACATTTGTACTATTTTGGCACATAAAAATGCAACGTAAAATTTGATGGGAAGTTATATGGAATGTACGGTCGTGAGTAGTACGTAGTTATCAAAATGTTTCTTTGAAATTTATCCTTTATTGATTTTCCATTTTGTTCCTTTGTGATTCCCCCTGTTGCTGCTGACTTCCAATCTGACCCTTCAAAAATTAGCTACAACTCGGAATCGAAAGATGTTAAATCACAAAATCTTGGTTGGTATCCGTAGATCTGACCAACCCGATACGATTGATCGATGGGCGAATTGCTATCTATTCGCCATTTGAAATATCCCTCGCGATTGTCTTTGAGAGTTAGTTGACGTGTACAGACAATACTGCCGGTTATGGTCAAAGCCATCATGTCGTGACAGCATGTATACGTGTGGGCTTCTTAACTGAAGTTCCTATTTTAGGTATTTTTTTTCTGCAAATGGCGAAATCCTTGTACAAATCGTATTGTTTCATGTGTGACTCGCGTTAACTTGGCTGACACTCGCACTCTTCGTCCGGGGCTAACTCGTGACCTTTACAATAGGCACATCCACCAATTTGTGTGGCACGTGAGGTAGGCTGTTTACGTGTCACGTGACTACGCGGTCCGGGATCAGACAACCTATCAGAGTATACAAACTCGGATCTGGATCCGTAGTGTATATTTACACCTTCCATAGACCGAAAAGAGCACAAGGTACGAACTGCCATGGTGGAAAGATACGTGCCATTGATTCGAATTCACTTCTTATGGCTAGCCCCTCACCCCATTGGTGAATGTCATGGGGATCTCGGAGTGCGCTGAATATTCCATGGGGTATGGTTTATGTTGATAGGGTTGTCCTCTGTTGATTTGCGCATGCGTGATATTTATCCCCATCAACCCTAAATCAACGGAAATCATATGTGGATTTCACACATACACGCACACACTAATAAATACCAAACATCCTTATTCCACGTGACACATTGGGATATCGTTTCAGGGTGGACCGTCGCAACTCAGAGCACATTACCTTGACCAATATTTGTTGATTTACCCTAGGAGAACGAGATTTTTGAGAATGCGGAGAAGTGAGAAAATTTGCGGAAACGAATAATTTCACATGGTTTCACTTGCGATGAAATTGTGATGTGATGGCCGATGCAGAGCACTTGACAGCGCTGCTTCGTCCGCGTTTGAACTCGTCAGTGTTGTGCAGTATGTTTGTGTTCCTGCTGGGGCACGAACAAACCCCATTATGAATGAGCTAAGGCGAAGAAACAACATTCTAAAACAATGCAGTTGACGACTTTTTCCCACCCTTTCATGAACGAGCTTTTCCTATTTTATTCTGACACCTGACAGTTAAGGGACATGTATAGTATTCCATTTCGCCTGTTCGCCGAGCTTGGCAATTTGTTTGCAAACGTTTCATCACCAGCCGAGGTGACATCATCAGTGCTTGTGAAGTGGCCTATAGTGTAGTTTAACACACCATACGTTGTATAGAGTGCATTTATTTATCATTTTTATATCGAACCAAAAAAACATTGTCCGGGGTGAAAAAAACTATAACTGAACATAGAACAGATACTGTAAGATGTTAATACAAGTATTAATCGAACTCATGCCACCAATGAAGAAACAGATTTTAGTTTCCTGATTGCATATCGATAGTCATGGGTAAAGAACATGTATCCCGGACTTCATCTCCCATTTCAATGTTCCTAATTCTCTTGTTACACTATTTGAATTAGAGCCACCTTGGATGTCACGGCAAAATTTGGAGTAGTTCAAAATTGACAGCTCAAAATTAGAAGATATTTGATACATGAATGTTCGTTCTCTGTAATAAATGATTGTCGTTTCGCGAAGGTGTTTATTCCGATCAATTCAATTATTCTAATTAGCAGATATTTTTATGTGCATTACACAGTAATTACACCGTTATTTTTATAAATAGATATTTTTTCTATACTAAGGTCTCACCATCTTGCAACTGATGCGCCACCAAGTGTACTCGAAATTGAGAACTCGTACTTTTATAAAGTATTCGACCAATGGAATAAATAACATAAGTGGACACTACTCCACTGATTTCGTTTGTTATCGAACGATACCATATTCGTTCCTGTGACGGAGCCTGAAAAAGCCAGACATTGTCTTATGAGTTCGAGCAATATCTGTATGTCGCTCAATCCTCTCGTTTACCACAAAATTCCGCAACCTATTTTTTATACAAGGTAGTTTTGTGAAGTACAATGGGTGCAGAACCATGATGTCGATGGAAAATTCGGTCTCCGCACACTCGTTCTCACGACTGGGTCGGTTAAGCCAGTACACATCAGACAGGATGACATAATGTATTTAGTGTTACTTTTCTAAGTAAAACAGTAATTCCTGTTTTTCATTGCGCATACAACTTTTCGGAAAGCGTTCACTGTCTTGCTATGAATTGCTACAGAAAGACGGAAATTCGGAAAATTGGTGGTCGTAGCACGGTTCGAACTGAAGACTTTCACTTTGTTACTTTGATTATCTTAAGCAGTTCAACCAAACTAGATTCAGTTTCACATAACAAAGGCCTAAACGACAATACTGAGGCGACTGATGACCCCAGTGTTCATTTATCAAGCTACATTGTTTAGCCATTGGTTGCATCATCTACCTTTTTATTTTTCTCTTGATGATTCGGTTAAATCATCGTGCAATTGATTATACAAATTGTTCAGTCTATCCATGGTTGAGTGCGCATTTACTCAGAACAATCTTTTTGAAACAAAAGACTGTTTTACAGTTGATGTGATTGAGGAAAATAAATGAATCTCGTCACATTAATGTGCTT